GCTTTGCATTCGAAGTTTTTGAGCCATTGCACAAATATCTATCTCATCAACTGACACCAAGACCTGGGCAAGAATGTCTACTTTAGCCATAATGTTGTGCAAGCTGAACGAGTCTGGACCGTCTTCAGAAAGGAGGCCGCTGTCTCCGTAGGTTAGATGGGCAGTATTATTACGTTCAAGAATAGGATAGCTACTGGCATGGGACAGACTCCTCAATTTTCCCGTAAACATTCGTTGAACCATTAGCATATGCTTTGCAAAAGCAAGCAATACCGGATTTGCCGTAATATTTATAGAGCCTATGCTGGCTTTGGCGACCAGATCCAGATAACCGTCTTTTACGGAAAGTATCTTTTTGGTTGTACCATCCACGACAGTTTCCACAACAGAGGATTGTTTGTACATGCTTTCGAGCACAAAGTCAAAGGGACCAATAACAAGACTATTGTGGTCTTGCTCTTTTTCTTCTTCATAGATGTAGAATTCCAATCGCTCTACTTTAATTTTCGCGAGGTTTACGGAAGATATCAAGAACTCGACAACAGGATCTGTTTTGCTCTCCGTTATTTCGAAATTTTTCACCTTTTGCTTGAACGGTTGAGTTAAAAGACGGCAGTGGGACACCGCATTGGATCCAATTTCCCAGTTTCTCCATCGTGAAAAGGTGGTGACTACATTGACAAACATATCTCTAGAATCAACGTTCTCAATCGCACCGCCTGAAGTCAGCCGGTATTGGAGTCTTTCTCGTTCAGATGAAGGCATAGAGCGCAAACAATGACGCATACGTGCAAGCAACTTCCAACCCACATCGTTTCTGAAGTTACGTGACCCTAGCCGAAGTATGTTTGTCGGCTTTGTCAAGAAAAGAGGATCGCTCTTGACATGGGTACGAGTCGAAAAGTTGGCAATCTCGTGGATGAATACTTGGATCTGGCGTGAACGACGGTCCTGAAAACTGCTCATAATGCTTTTGAGATCATTTACAAACACAAGCCAAGAGTACACAGCACCAGAAAGAATCTCTGCAGATTCTGTAATGATAACGGCAGAGATGTTTCCTATGGCGAGATTCAGATAATTTGGTTTGGTTGCCCCTAACCATTTCAGCCCAAGGTTGTTCAGTACAAAATCAATGACAATCAGCTCATTGATAAGATCGTCTTCACTTGACTCGTTTTGTGGCGAATATTGGTGTTTGCGTTGCCAATTATGAGGGATTCCGAACAGAATAGGGCGGCTGGATTCACGTCGACCACTGATATAGCGTACTTTGCAATCGAGTTTACCGATATCAATGTGTACTCGGGATTCCTGAAGGACAAGTTTTGACTCTGCAACAGATTTCTGTTTTTCATCATACGCAAAATCCTGGAATTTGAAGCTGCAGATCATGTACAGTTTTTCGAGTACAATATCTGCCGAGCAAAGTAGAGCATCCTCTTGATCATATTTAGTATTAATGTGTGATTGTCCATGTTTGTACACTGGAAGGTCGTCTGGAATCATAACGTCTTGAATAAAATGTAGGTAGGTCCGTGGCATTAGGATAGCAACCCGACTACATATAAATTGATCAGTGAGGTAACGGGTAAGCTGTGCAATATATTCAATTTGCAGAGAGTCCAACATTGTTTCAAGATCCCAATCCTATATAAACAAGAATATACACACCAAAGAATAAAAAACAAGACAGGGCAAATTAGTTAAATATTCTTGCTCTTCAAATAATGCACTATCATTTATTTTTCTTTAATAGATAACAAAAAAGGAAAAAAGAAATCTCACTCACATCTTTATTGATAGCCTCCGTAAGTTCTTGAGCAATTTTTACAAAAATTGGGGTTAGAAGAATAGTTACTGGGCTCGTGGCTTCTATGATAGTGGTCGCAGTTGTTTCGTTTTCCTTTCGATTATCGTTGTCATTATCTTCCTGGGGTTCTTGACCATCGTCTTCAAAGTCTGCAAATGTGGAGTCCATCTTTTCACCTGTATCAAAATTTAATCCACGTCCTCGACTATCTTCATTATCCTATTAGACACACATACACACATAGAAAAGAAGAAAAAAGATAAATAAAAGGGTGATATAAATATTCGTTGTTGTTTAGCAAACAATGTCGAAAGCAAGTCATACGTTTTGGGGTATAAAGGATGTCCTCGGAGGAGGAAGGTAAGGATGAAAGAAGCTGTGACCATGGTTGCTCGATGTAGCCCTCTTGACACGGTATCGTTTTAGATACCCACTATATGGAATTGAAGGCGGAATCGATGCTTCTGCTGTGCTGTTTTTGGAAGCATGATACTCAAAGCTTCGTCTTTTTATTTGTATTTCTTCTTCTAATATAAGAATTCAGAACACAAGCTGTATATGCATAGAAAAAAATACCTTCACTGTCGATTTCACCAGCAGATTCATTGCTAGCATCTTCATAACCATCTGATGCATAGTCCAAATCAAAATCCATATCAAAGTGTGTTTGTGAGTCAGGATACTGTGAATATGAAATAGCTGTGTGAAACGAGTCATCGTCTCGAGAGATGCCACTTTGGGCTGAGTGCCGATGCTTAGACGACCTAATACATCCATTGATTAATTTGCACAATTTTTGGCTTTCAAAGAGCCCATACCTTGCATCTGGTTCATATACACATGATTCCACATCAGAGTCAGAATAGTTATCACCATACGATGAGGCGCTTGGGACACTACTTCCTTTGGCGTAGTGGTATGAAGATTCAGGATTGCTGGTTGATCTGGTTAGATTAGATTCAGCATCACAAGGTTCTACAACTCCTTCATTGTCTATATCATATAAAAACAAACAAACAATGTATACATGTGCGCGTATTTTTTTTTTTTGAAATTATTAATATGTTATAGTATTATATATATTTCTAGATTCTTTAGGAGTACAGATAATCTTACTCACCTAAATAAAAAGACCTGAAAGGAGGAGCATACAATACACCAACATGGTATTCTTGAGACATTCGGGTAGACACACGCGAGTTTTGTGAAACATTATCGGTATCATATAGATGAAAGCACCTTCTGGTAGGGTTGTCTTGAGTTCTAATAAAGGTTTGTTGTTCACTTCTTTCTTTACGCCAATTCTTTGTTTGGCGGAAGATAGTTATGTTGAGTCCAACTTCTAACTTGGCCACTTCTACCCATGAAAACTCATTTTCCTGTATATATATGTATTTGCCTAGAATTAGTGGATGCGTGTCTTTTTCTTTCTTTTTTAAAGTAAATAAATATTACGAGCGTTAAGGTTTACCTGGGCTAATCCAAGAGATGATTGTTCTTGATTGGCAAGACATATGGTTTGTATAGACGGAAGCTGTAGATTAATACGTTGACTGTATTTCTTATTAATCCAGTTATCAAACTCGGCCGTAATTCCGTCTTTTAGATATATTTCAGTGGCACCACTGTGGCTCATTAGGTAAACGTCAATTTCTTTTACGGTTGCTTTTACAAATGTGACATCTGGAAGTGAAACCATATCAGCATCTTCGGGCGCAGCTGGTACGGCGTTGTCTTCATCAATCAAATTGTAAATAAAGGTTTGTGCAAAGCATGTTGTCCCAAGGAGAAAAGAAGGTTTTAGTTCGCCCATAACTCGCCCAATATCAAAGTTCCAACGCCCTAAATACGTTGCTATTTCTGGCAAAGGACCATACATCAAATGCCCATGGATATTCATTTCTGCCAGAAAATTTAAATGGTAATAATAATGGTAATAGTAATAATAATAAATATATATCCCAAGCATAAGCGTATTTTTTTCTTTATATTTTTTGCACAAAATGTGCACAAGTCTATTATTTCTTCTTCTTTACCATCAATATAAACATGGTTCCGTGGATCTCTTCCGTTCTTCATTCGAAAAGGCCCACTCTTGGTATTGGGGCTAGGATTGCTATCCCGTGTCCAGGTTATTGGACTGAAATTGACATGTGTATCTACAAGGATTCTCATTAAATTAGTCAATTGTGTATATAAGCGCGTGTATATGCTTTATAAAACAAACAAATAAACCGAACACGGGTTGATGTTTACCCATATAAATATCAAGGTTTCTTAATTCTAGTTGGAGCTCCTGAAACTCCATTTGTGAGTATTGAGTACAATCGTAAAGGTTTTCTGGCAGGATAAATGCACCATCTTGAACTTTTAATAATATGTAGACCTCAAGTGGATCCTGTATTGGCTACAAGTTTGTAAGATAATCAGTTAAACCTTCAGTCAATTCGGTTATGAGAGAACTTTATAACTGAGTTTGATCGTGCATTACTTTAGAATCGGCTTGTTTCTTCCTAATCTCTTTCCATTGCTCTGGCTTGACTCTACGTTGTCGGTATTCTTCAATTGTCGAAAAGTTCACCCAGCGACCAAAGTAATTTTCTTTCAAAATAACAAGGTAACGAATGACGGTTCCAAACAATTTAACAGTAATTCCATCCAGCTAGATATATATGTGATCAATTCGTGGTAATATATATATATAAATAAAGATGGTTTTTTTTAAACAAAAAACTAACCTTTATGTCTAAATTCAAAGACTCTATATGTCGTGCTACATCAACAGAATTGTAGTATTCATATGAACCATCCAACCTCAAGTGAACACCCACACCAAACTGTGCATTATCTTCTTCCAAAAATGCATTGAGAGTGTGAGACGTTTGTAAAGATATACCAGTTCTAAATTGCTCAATCTATTGAATTTGTTATTTTTTTTTAAAAAAAAGAGCACACAAAAATATAAGTTCTTATATATATATATTAATCAATTCATTTGATTTTGATTTACCTCTAAATCAAACTGGATCGAGCTCACTTCTGGTTCAAACATAGTAAATGGCAATGTCGCATTAAAGCGAACCTTACGAGAGTTGATCTTTATAAACGCTATTAAAATTGAAAATTAAATATTGAAATATACCCACTTCATTATCCACTTTTTTTTTGGTCCCCCAGTATTATTTTTCTACATATATATCTTACTGTTGTCATCGATTGCATTGGGATTGCTGATAATGTTATGCTCATTCACACAAAGATATATAAACGGGTCGTTGATGTCAAGGTGGAATTTGTATGTGGTCGGTATAAAATAAAGAATATCCGATAGAGGTTCTGACGATAGGTCTTTGAGCATGTCTTGGAAAAGAAATATGTGATCTCTCAAAAGAAAAATACGGGGGCGGTTTGTATATGCCTTGATTTCCCACACCCGATGTGCATTCCATTCGAGAGGAGAGTTCATTAAGAGTTTCATCTATAAAATATAGGCCGACAACCAGTGCACCAGTAAATAAGTTAGAGTAATCTTAATATATATAAAGTTAAATCGTGTATTACCTCGAAATTACTTGCTTGAAGAAAAGAAGCATAATTGATACTTGTAGACACATCTACATCTTTTAGATTGATGTCAAGAGTTGACGCACACCCTTGTTGCCCCAAGACATAAGGAATAATTAATTTTACAGAAGAATCTGCTCCAGCCTTAATATCGAGCCACCCATAAGGACGGGTGTAGTAACCATCTGCACCAATATCTAGATCATCAGAATCTTCATCGTATTTCCAATCCTAAACAAAAAAAAGCAAAATCAATTAGTTAGATAAACAAAAAAACATACTATTATATTGTTGTTATGATGATGATATTTGTATGTATCTATAAAACAAAATATGATTCAATCCAATTCAATAAAATACATGCCTTTGACCTTTCCCGAGTCGGAAATCTAAGAGTAGCTTCTGTCATGAACTCAAGATGGAAATCAAAGCTGGCTGCAGCACGTTGTTGCCCAGGCAAAAGGTGAGGAGTCGGGACATTATTTCGATACGAGCTTGGAAAGAAATAGTCTTGGATGACAGAACTAAATAAAGTTTGAATTATAGCCTTCATTTCTTTGTATATATGTGTAATATTACCGTTGCCTATCTGTCCAAGGACCGTAATGTATCATTGCAGTCCAGACAGAGATTCGTACCCCCCATTCTGGGGGAAGCCCGCCGTTTCCAAAATGAACATCATTTGAATTAATCAGAGGCGGGGGTGGTAGTGTAGAAGGAACAAGGCCAGGAGAGTCAGAGTAGTAAGTGATTGCCATCTTACTGCATTCGATCATGTTGCTGACCTTGCCATATTCTTGGTGGTAAGTTGTTCCTCCTGGATTGTTGACTGGAGTTTCTCTTTTTTGAGAGTTCATTAACGTGTGGATGTGTTGCATCCCGCCATACTGCCTAGCCTTTGATGAAGGGATAAACCATCGGAGAGGATGAAGTAACATTCTACAGAGTCTACTATATAGATTTTAAAAATAATCTTTAGAATTCTTGAACAAGATTACATTGCATTGAATCAAATTGAAATTGCAATTGAATCAAATTGAAATTGCAATTGAAATTATTTTCTTTCTTTCTTTCTTTCTTTTTATCTCTTTCTTTCTTTCTTTCTTTTTATCTCTCTCTTTCTTTACTTTGTATCAGATGTTTCGGGCACTACGTTTACTTTACTGAAATCCATGTTTTCCTTGACATGAACTTGTAGTTTTCCCAAAACAAGATCCGTAATTGTCTTGAAATGGTCCATTGTTGTTCGCGAAGGCGCAGTGCTAACAATCCCACTTGCTTGGGCCACCTGACAAACCAACATGGTCTGAAGCTCTGCATTACCGATCATGACAGCACCTGTAGTACATTCAAACTCGATTGGAACAAGTCTTTGAAAAAGTGAAGTTTCAAAGCCAACTTGATCATGACTTTCAGGATCAATTGAAGATTGTAATTCTTTAAAGAAACAGAGAAAAAAAGAGAGAAGAAAAAAAAATGAATTTAATGGAGTTAAAGAGATATGGTAGAGAGGGGGATTTATTATTATAAAATGGAGGTAATAATAAGGATTAATAGATATAAAGAATTGTTTTGTATTATAGTGATTATAATATCTTATTTTACCTTGCATGGTTGGGGTTTGTTTCGCAGTGTTCAACCTTTCTAAAGGGTTGATTCCCAATACATCTTTTAGGCCTTCATAGACTGGTACATTATTGTACATGAATACTTCTAGGCCTTCGAGACTGCACACAATTCTACAGGGTAATTTACTATTGTTCTCTGTTATGTGGTAAATAGATGTATAAAATGTATATACATATAAAGGACCAAATGATAATAATTAATATTACATATTATATATATATATATGTGTGTGTGTACTACTAATCTTGCCTGTCTTTTTATCTTGGCCTGTCTTTCTGACACTCATAAGCCAGTATCTAATGGTTACATGACCTTTGACTATAGAGATTGATTGATTTGTAGAAATGTAACGTAGATTCTTGAAAAGTATTCGAGCACCCAAGACTGTAAAGCGAATAGAGTCTTTTGAATGCCAATGCCAAAGCCAATGCCAAAGTCAAACCAAGGCCCCGCCAAACCAAACCAAATAAAAAAAAAGATAAAATAAATAAATGAGACCTCTTTCTGTTTTTTTGATTTGTTTTTATTTATTTATAATCGGATCGAAATGATGATCCTACCGACTTCAATGTAAGCATTAAACTGACGCCAAGTGTATTGGTTGATGAGCCACGTAATCAATAGAGCAATGACACGATTGTAATAGAAAAAGAAAAAGAGAACGACGACAATGACAACAAGACAATATACGACAAACAACCAAAAGTCTGAGCTTCCTTGATAATCTGTTCCTGATGCCAATAGAGCATCCATGATTAATTAAGAGAGATTAATAGCTAAAGTAAATAAATATATAAATTAATTAATTATATACATATATATATATATATATAAATTAAATATAAAGCAAGTGCAAAGAAGAAACAAAACACACAAATAAAATCTGATAAAATCAAATGTACTAAATAATTGAGGTAAAAGAAGTTGGGTTAAAGACAATTGTGATGCCAATTTTCTTTATTGCTCAAACCCCACAGAAATTAAGAAAAATCAGGAAAGAGTACAAGAACATGAGAGAGGACAATAGATTCTGTATTAGGCTTTTTTAATAATAATAACGCTACTAATATTGATACTAGTGAGATGTGATGTTGTTCCTGATGTAATCTTGTACGGGGTGGAGTAGTCAATTTTGTACCAGAATCTACTGATATAGAAAAGAAAACAAGGTCTGTGGATCCAACCTGTACATCATGTTATGTATATATATGACCTTCATAGCATCTATTTTCTGCCGTTGCTGTTGTTGTTATTGTTATTTAGGGATGGAGGCTGCTGATTAAAATTAAAGATTAAAATATGCGAAAATATACAGTTAGATATGATTTTTTGTAGGATTATATCACAACTATTTAAATGTCAGAAAAACTTAATAAATCATAAAAATTACTAGCCACAGATTGTGAATGAATGGGCAATGAAAACAAGCCAGTGAGTACAGTTATTGTGAAGGAAATTAAAAGAAAAAAGAAAGAAAAAAAATGTGATAAATAAAGGGGTGAAGAAATGAAGAAATGAATTATTATTAATATTTTACTACTAACAAAAAGTTATAGTAAGTATTTATAATAAACTATTAATACTTACACGCACACACATTCATACATTTGTGTGCGAGGTTGTATGTGTGCATGTGCGTGCAAGTGAATAGATATACATATAAATAAAAAAAAGTTTATGAATACTCCGTTGAAAACCTTGTTTTTTTTTATTGTTTTATTGTTTACAAAGAAAAGGAAATATTAAACACCAAAGTTGTGTTTTACAACCCACAGCCACAACCAGCCTCAACTCAATTCATCAATGTTAAAGTAAAATAAAATTAATATTAACTATATTCATTAAAAGTATACATACATACTTGTTTAACTGTAATGGTTAATGAGCTATAATAGCAACAGAAGTAACGAAGTAGGTTTTCTTGATTTAATTGTTTTTGTCAAGCAATTCAATCTCAAGGCATAAAAGCGAGAGCGAAAAAAAAAGAAGAGCGAAAATAGTGACTTGAAGAGCAACCTGAGAAGCAGCAAAAAAAAAACAACAACGAAGAAAAACAAAGAGAGGATTGAAGAGAAAGAGCCAAAAGAGAGGCATAATAAGCGTAGCATCGTGTGAATATATATTTATTTTAAAATACAATAGTTTTTTTTTAACACCAAAAGGCCAATTATATATATAATAGACAGCCAATAAAATAATCCAATTCTCAGGTTGTACATAATAAATAAGCTGGAACAATACAAAAAAAAAATAATCAGTAAGTTGGTTGTACAAATCCCAAAATGAGTTTTTTTTTTAAAGAACCAAACAACGGTTTTTATTTTTATTTAAAGATGAGTACTTGCTTTTATGCTCTTTTTCAGAGTCAAAGCTATATGCTTTTATGTATCAGGGTAAAGATGTATCAAATTATCTGAAGCCTCAAATATATCGATGTGTCTAAATTTTGCTCTACTATCGAGAAATTTCGGTCGGTTGTTGAGAGCAAAGTTAAGCGCCGTAAGATGTTGGAAAACGAGACATCGATGATACGAATTGGTGAAGCATTCAATAGCATAAGGCTGAGTGCTTCAAAGGTCTATTTTTTTTCTAGTTTTTGTAGAGTCTTTGGTATGTATTGTAATATATAATAGCTATGATGTTCCTTTTTTTTGCTTTACTTTACGTAGTAAAACTAATGAGATATCTAATAAAAACTTTAGCCGACGTTTGCTTAAAACGTATAATATTAATTTAGCCAGAAAGTTAAATGAAATGTATTCAGCAAGAGAAAACCAAGGAACTTAATGATTTGGAAAAGGTAGATTATGAAAAATAAGAAAGTCTTATTGACACTTTTATGTCTTTGTTGCATTAAGCTAGTATTTCCTAAGAGCGAGACCTTTTATGTTATCTATTCGGTATAAAGACTCATACCTGTATACCATACGAACAACAACAAAAAACATGAGAAAAATAGAAGCTTATTTCATAAAACATTTGTATAGGAATAGACAAATTGATTTGATAGAAGAGTATTGTTAGACAACTAACGTCTCAATTGTTTTACAGGTACATTACAATAATCAAATCCCAAGATAGCCTTGCGGTTATTTAGCTCCCCTCAATTTTCTTAAAATAAGGATTTAATATAATTTTTAGATACAAGGATGTCAGCTCAATGCAACAAAGACATAAAAGTGCCAATTTTTTTTTTCATAATCTACCTTTTCCAAATCATTAAGTTCCTTGGTTTTCTCTTGCTGAATACATTTCATTTAACTTTCTGGCTAAATTAATATTATACGTTTTAAGCAAACGTCGGCTAAAGTTTTTATTAGATATCTCATTAGTTTTACTACGTAAAGTAAAGCAAAAAAAAGGAACATCATAGCTATTATATATTACAATACATACCAAAGACTCTACAAAAACTAGAAAAAAAATAGACCTTTGAAGCACTCAGCCTTATGCTATTGAATGCTTCACCAATTCGTATCATCGATGTCTCGTTTTCCAACATCTTACGGCGCTTAACTTTGCTCTCAACAACCGACCGAAATTTCTCGATAGTAGAGCAAAATTTAGACACATCGATATATTTGAGGCTTCAGATAATTTGATACATCTTTACCCTGATACATAAAAGCATATAGCTTTGACTCTGAAAAAGAGCATAAAAGCAAGTACTCATCTTTAAATAAAAATAAAAACCGTTGTTTGGTTCTTTAAAAAAAACTCATTTTGGGATTTTAAAAAGGCGCGCTTTGGCATTGGAACGACTGCACCTGAATAAAATAGTCAAAGTAAGCACACACACACACATATATATATATATGTATATAGAAGTTGTTGATGGCTTGACATCATCGTCATTATAAAGCAGTAATAAATAGATAAAAATATTTAACTCTCCTATCTGTACGACTTTATTGTTTCATCTTTTTCCATTGTATTTTTCTTTTTAAAATAAAGAAGGTTGGTTTCAAGGTACACACGAACTACACATTACACCTTGCACACACGCACACGCACACGCACATACATACACATACTCGCACACACATACAGAGAGAGAGAGAGGGAGAGAGAAAGAGGAGATAAAATTATAGATATAGATATAAATACAAAATATTTAAATATAATAATATTTCCATTTTAATAAACCAGATCAATTATCTGCCAAAACGGCTATTTTCCCTTTTGTATATCCTATTCTTTAAATATACATATTATATAAAAAATGGTGCCATCTGGTCTTTAACCTTTTTTAAGCCCCAAGAAACAAAGGCGACGATCTAATAGACAATAAGATGTTGGTACTCCTCACACTAAAAAGAGAATCTACTGTAAGATTAAGAGAAAGAGAGGTAAAGAGAGAGAGAGAGAGAGAGAGAGAGAGTACACAAAATCTAAATCAACTTACAAAGCCTCACCTACTAGTATAACTACTGTTTTTATTGTTATTATCAAGGATTTCAGTAACGTATAAAATATCCCCATACTTAATAGATTGGGTAATATTAATACTTGATATATCATAATTAAAACTACAATAAGTATACCTTGAGTACTCTGTTATCCAGTGATTTACTCCATTAGTTGCTAGGTTACTTGATTGCTTAGTTACTTATTGTTCTTTTGGCGATCTTGATATAAATCATTACAAACCCAACCTTTTGTGCTTTTTTTACTCACAAAAGCCACACAGTCTATTGTGCGTGTACTATTTATTTATTATTTATGTACATGTATATTTTAATAGACCTGTCAGAATAGTAAATAAGAGAAGTTACACTGTATCAGTCACTATACTTTGTCAAGAAAAATAAAGAGAAAGACAGAGAGATCTTAATCTCGGCAATCTGACCAGAATATCCATTCATAATTCTCTTTTGATCTAAATACTGCACAATAGAATCTAATGTGTCAATGGTGTGGCTCATTCATTCATTCATTCATTTTTTTTTAAAAAAAAAAAAAACAAAAAAGAAATAGCAAGAAAAGTCTATCTTAAGTTTCATAATTGAATTCTATTTCATAAATGCATTCATTTTCGTTTTTTTTTACTGTTATACACACTACACAAGTACACACTTACACTATACTTACACCAACAGTACACAAGCTCATCCAAAATAATAATACTAATGATGATAATAATAATAATAGAAAAATACTTTCTCTTATTATTATTATTATTATTATTATTATTATTATTATTAGTTATTATTACTATTGTAAAATAGTCAAAACATCACCTCTTTTTGTGGTTACACTGTATCTAAGCTTATCCTTCTCAGCTTTTGGTCTCTTTACCTTTCTTTATATTTCTTGCATTTTTATTCGATTGGCAGAAATACAATAAAATAAAGGTACAAGCCCAGTTTTGGATTCCGTTATGTAATAGTATCGAAAATGAAGAAAGAAAAAGACAGACAAATAAAAAAAAGATTGAATATTTTGTGTTCAACAAACCCAAAAATATAAAGAAAAAAATAAAATAAAAGCTGATCGCATTGTATTCTTGTGTACAGGAACATGGCTGTGCATTCAAACCGGGTAAATAATGATGTTATCTATCTATCTATTACTGTATGTAGACTCTCCACTTTTTTTTTTAAATATTTCACAAGTCAAAAAGGGGCAAAGAGGAAGATAGATATGGAGAAGTTTCAAGCAGAATGCAGGCTATTTATTTATTTATTGTCGTCTGGCTGATATAATAAAATACATGAAAAAGAGGGGAAAAAAGCATGAAATGTGGGAATAAGAATAATAAGAACAGAAAGAAAAAGAACAAAAGAAGAAGAAAAAAATAATAATCTACAGCAACAATAGAGAGGGAAAAAGAAGAAGAAAAAAACGATTAAAAAACAAAAAGAAAGGTAAAGATAATACATATGTGAATGTGTGGGAATATATATATATATAAAAGAAATAAAGGGAAATAGAGTAAAAGAAGTAAGGTGAGGTTAAGATAAGGTAAAGTAAAGAAGTAAAAAGAGAAGTAGAGAAAGACCTCCAGGGCATGCGACGCTTTTTGATTTTTTTTGTTTTGACCGTTTTTTGTTTTACTTTCTCTTCTTGATCATACTGGCTGGTTGCTTGCAAATCTTATCAACCTTCCAATGTCTCTTGAGAGCATCTCCACGCGCAAATCTCTTTGGACAGCTAGGGCAGGCGTGTGGTTTGAAATCAGAGTGCTGTCCAGAGTGACGTTTGAGATCATGGGTCCGTGCAAACTTCCAGGTGCAGCCAGGGTGGCGGCATGCAAATGGTCGCTCGTTTGTGTGTGTACGCATGTGAGAGCTCAAATTGTACCGACGGTCAAAGGGTTTTTCGCAAACTTCACATTTGAAGCCAAAAGCAGGCGCTGGTTTTTCTTCGGATTTACACTTTAAGTGTTTGTCACTAGCAATCTTTCTGGTGTCAATCTTTGCGAGACAGTTATTGGTGTTGGTGTTGCTGGTAGTATTTATGTTCATGTTCATGTTCATGTTCATGTTTATGTTGTGACTATTGTGGTTGTGGTTGTCCTGGATATTGTTGATGTTAATGTTCGAATTGGTGTAGATGGTCGGAGAGTAAGAAAAGTTCTGAATTGTGTCTTTGGAAAACACCTTTTCCTTTCCAGTATCCATTCCAGACAAGAAATCTGTCCAGTTGGGTACCTGTACTTGCTCATGCCCAAATTGACCAATAGTAGCAGTATTAGCACTGGCAGTGTTATTCGTTGTTGGAGCAGTCTCGACAGTAGTAGTGGTAGGCGTAGTGGTAGAGGTAGTAGTGGTCGGCAAGAAGTTTGTATGTGTGCTGTCAAAATTGAAAGGTACACCGCCGCCACCAAGTGGCTGTGCAATTTGGATGTGGGGTGTAGACATCTGACGCTCAGCAATATTCGCGCGCCATTGCTGTTGAAACTGAATAATTTCCTGTTGTTGGCGGCAGTACATTTCTTCAAGATCTCTGTAAGTTTACAATAAAAGTAAAGCAAAAAAAGAAAAGTATTATTAATATTTAATATTTCCCTCAAGTTACTTGTATATATATATATATATATATATATATATCAGCTTCTTTTTTTTTACCTTTCATAAGAACGTTGGTCTTGGACTGACCAGCCACTAAAGTCAACCGAAAGTCCATGCATCATCGAGGATTGGCTCATAAGATCGTTATCCACACGAGGAGTGGGTGGCAGAGAAGTTTGTTGTTCGTACGCACAGTTGAGCTTTGACTCCTGTGAAAACGACCAGTTAAGGTCTGATTCGGTTCCCCACATGCCATGATCTTCTTCATTGGGCTGGCCCAGGCAGAGTGAACCAGGCGCTACAAAGGGCGAGTAAGAAGGGACTTGATTAAGTTGGGATTGGAAAGAAGATATTTCTGAAATCATGTTGTATGTGGCAGATAGTTGTTGGGAATTTGGCATTTTTTGTTTTGATTTTGGTTTTGCGTATGTATGTTTGTATATTATGGTTTAGTGTAGTGTAGTGTAGTGTAGTGTGGTGTAGTATGCAGTGTGTTTACAACAATAATATATATATATATTCTTTTTAAAAAAAAGATAGATAAAACGTATCAAATCAAATAGAATTAAATCAAATCAAATAAAATTAAAGCAGTAAGATAAATAAGAAGAAGAAAGAAAGAAAGAAGAAGAGGTCTCTTGTGGGGTACTCAAGACAAACGCTTGTCTTTATATATAAAAAAACTTGTAAAAAAAAACTTGAAAGAATTACACAAAAAAAGTATATATATTTATATCTATACACACACTTTAGCTTTCTAAAGTGTTTGTTGGTCAATACACATACATACATACACGCACACACGCACACACACACACACACACATATATATAATAGTATATATATATAAATCCTCTACTCACCAAAATGAGTATACCGTCAACTTCCACTTCTAATGAGCTCGTGGAACGACTCAAAATAAAATAATAAAATAAAAGAACAAAGGAATCTGCTGTACCACTAAGGGCTGCGCTTCCAGCCATATTCGCCCGAAGTACAAAAATAAAATAAAAACTCAATATGGTTGTACCGATATTTTGGGCTCGAACATTGTGACTATTATTACTTTTTCACACCAGCCATCTAAAAAGTGCTACACATTTTTTCATTCTTTTGCTTTTTGTCTTTCTTTTTTAAGTCGCCTTCCATACTTGTGCCCTTCTTTTTTTTTGTAGCAGCAGAAGCAGCAGTAGCAGCAGCAGCAGAAGCAGAAGCAAAACAGAAGCAGAAGCAGCAACATATACACACACACACACACTTACGCACACTCACGCAAACGCACAAAACCAAGAAAACATATTTGAAGAGACCAACAACCACTCTCATTCCAATCAGATCATCTACTACTTAACGACGAAACCATGACTTCACCTAATATACCTTCCGACCTTACAATGCCAAAAAACGATCTTCTTCCTACTACAGCTGCGGCAATCGAACAAGAAGAGACGATCGAAAATGTTACAAAGGAGAAACTCGGATACATGAAACTGATGATGAAAAGCTTTATTCAAGGAGCACTGAGAGAAAAAGATCAGGTAAAAAGATAATAATTCTATTACTATCATTGTTTTTTTCTCTATTATTATTTCTATTCTATTGCCTGTATATGATGAGAGGGGAAGATGTGTGTATGTGCATGTGTTTGTGCTTATGTGCACGCACGCTTATGCGTATGCGTTTATGTGTACGTATGTTTATATACTACGCCATGTTGCTTTATACACGTACACGTATACGTTCACAGATGTTACGAGAAAACAATCAAAGAAAACATATCAGATGTGTGACTATCTGTGTGATCTGTAAAAAAAGAAAAAAAAAACTCTACCCTATCGGAGGAAGCATCTCTCCCTCTCTCCACATATCCCTCACCTTCTCTCTTTTGTTTTTTTTGGTCGTTCGTTCGGTCGCTCTATTCATTTGTGTTTTTTTATTTTATTTTTACAATATCGGAAACTGCTTACATATACACATGTACAAACATGTAAACTACACCAACCAATTTCCCCGCATAAGCATCTAAAGCTATGCGTTCGGGTGTGTTGACGGGTCCAATAAGAAGCGAAAGAAGCAGAAGAGGCGAAAGAAGCGAAAGAAGAAGAAGTATATACTTTTTTTTATATTACAATCATCTACATCTTTTCTCCATCATTCTCTCTTTACATCATTCTACTGCTGCTATCTCTCTCTCTCTCTCTCTCTCTCTCTACCTTTTGTCTCAAAATTTGCGTGCTTGTATTGTCTAAAAAAATGAGAAGGGTAAAATAAAGGTCAAAGAAAAAAACCATGAAGAAAAGAGATTGAAAATGGCTTTTTGGGTTCAAGTCACAATCTTACTATAATTATTCTGGTTGCCTTTAAAACCCTTAAATAAGAAGAAAGGAGAAGAAGAGGGTGAGCGATGATGAAGAAAGAAGGAAAGATGATGAAACAAAAAAAAAAGAACAAAAGAGTTTCGTGTGGGGATAATGGAAAGAAGAGATAATTCTATTTTGAACCTCTTTTGAAAGAAAAGAAAGAATAAAGGAATTGACGGAAACCGAGCAAAACTATATACATATTTATATATGAAAGCAACAATACCAACGTTCTTTTATACCAAAACACACCGTGATACATGCGCATGCACATACGTACATAGCAATACAATATCACTGTATACATCCTTTTCATTTATATTATATTATATATTTTTTTGCTCTATCTATTGATCCAATAATCATTCCTTCCCTCTCACGATACCTCTTTTCTTTTTATCTTCTTTAATTTTAATTCCATATTCTTATTCATATTACCGAATTCATCAAAACCAACGAATAATTTAACCCACACATTATATTGTTTTGCATTGCATTGCATCTTATTGTACTGTATTGTCATAATTAGGGAAATCTGACACGTTACAATGAACTCATCAGTATCCTGTCAATCGATCCATCTAATCCTGAAGCACCTTCAGCTCTCAAGCTCTACGTCTGGATCAGTGTTTTATCCCAATCTGTTTCACAACTCGACAAATCATGCTCTGGCCTTATCGAGGCAATTCTCAAAGTAGACTGGGCAGTAAGAACCCGCACCTTTGTTGATGCCTATATCGATTTACTTGAAAACATCGTTTCTGCCCATGCCGTTTACGTCGTACCTGTCATCAACACACTTGTGTCAGGCCTCAGATTCCGTAAGTTACACGCTCAAAGAATATATACATACTTTAGTCACAATTACAATTGAATACACAAAAAATACTTATTGACTTGCTCTAATTCATAATGTTCTTTTTCTTTAATATTTATATATATGTTTAGGTTATAATCTCCCCCCTTATAATTGTGTATCACGCACTGTCATTTATGAACGTAATCATGAGGCTATCCGAAGCATTCTTCAACTCATCCCAACAAGTGCCAATTCTCTGTTTGTCAGTATCGTGCGACAGACACCACATCATCGTCTCAGCTCAGCTGATCAAGCAGCATTTGTCAAGAATGCCCTTGAAATTGTAGAGTATGCCCCAGTTTTGAGAAGACAGATCCTCAGTATCCTCATTGACCACATTGTTCAAATTGACGCAAGTATATTAATTACACACACACACAAATACAAAAATTTATTAACAATTGTACATTTTATTTTTCTGTTTCTTTTTTTTTTGTGTACAACAGGCTCACATTCAAATTGAATTGGACGAGTTGGAAGAAGACGTTGATTTCGAAACTTATAATATGGATTTTGACGACGATTACCAATCAGACAATAGTGACAACGAAGATGAAGAAGACGATGAAGAAGACGATGACGATGACGATATCGAAAGCATGTACTCGGACGACGACCAAGAAAATGGAAATGTTGACCTCAAAGAACAGATGAAGAAAATCAAATCAATGGTCCGCAAACTCGATGCCATGATGGTTCTTGTCTTCCGTTACTTTGCAAAATGTGCGGTACAGCAGCCCGCCCATGTCAAAAACGAACTCTACACCACTCTGATCGATATCTTTGACCGCATGATCTTAAAGACCCTCAAGTCTCGATACACCCAGTTTTTGATTTTCTATTTCTGCTCACTCGACGTCAATGCCTACAGTGATAGCTTTGTTGAACATCTGATCAAGAACATTATGGATCCTCTACGCCCTGGAGTGACACGCATCTCAGCCGCAGCCTATATCTCGTCGTATGTTGCTCGTGCAAAGTTTCTCGAGCCATTAGCAATCCAACGAATCATTGGAACCCTGTGTGCCTGGTGTGAGGAATATGTCGCAACTCACGACAAGAATCTACAGGCAGATGTGATGAAACACGATGTGTTTTATGCTGTAATGCAAGCAATTATGTACATTTTCTGTTTCCGCTGGCGTGATTTGGTACTCGAGGACGCACTCGATGTTTCTCTCGAACAAGAGCAAGAAGAAATCGATGTCGAGAAGAATAACATCAATATATTTGGACAATCCATCACTACCACCACTACTATCAACACCAACACTAATACTGCAACCACAAACAGTACGAGCTCGCCGTCTGGCTTAAATGTTCACATCATGAGTGCTGCAGAAAGTGGAGGAGTTGTACGAAACTGGTGCCGAGGTCTTCGTAATATGCCCTACCTAGTGATGAGCAGACTGAACCCACTCAAAGTGTGTTCTCCCGCAGTCGTGAAGCAGTTTGCCAAGTTGGCGCATGATACCCACTTTATGTACGTCTATCCAATTCTGGAGAAGAACAAAGATCTGCTGATTACTGGTGTGAATGCCGACAATGGTTCTTCGGGTGGCAAGAACATCTTACAGACTGTCCAGACATTCTTCCCATTCGATCCTTACAAGCTTGAGAGCAGCAAGAACTTTATCAACAATATCTACTTTGAGTGGATTGCAGAGGATGACGATGAAGACAGTGACGAAGAAAGTGAAGATGAGAGCGATGGTGAAATGTCGGCTGGATTGATGGCTATGAGCATTAGTCCAAGCCCTATACATTACATGCCACAATAAGCCCACATTCTTTCTTTCTTTTTTTCTTTCATCCTTCTTTTATATTTTATATTTTATATTATATTTATTTCATTTTAACTACACTAGCATCATCCTCATTATATATACATATACATATATATAGATATGATATAAATATTATATAAATCTTCTGCATTTATTATTCTTATTCTTCTTCCTCTTCCTCTTCCTCTTCTTTTGCATGTTGTGCTCTTGTGTTTCTTCAAGCATTTCAATGATATAAAAAACAATAATAGAATAGAAAAATAAAACAATACTTTCATATTTTATACTATCTTAATTTGTTTTATATTTTCTACAAACATTTACACTGGTACGTGTATGTGCAATGCATGTGTATGTTGTATTGATAATGTGCGTGACGTGCACTCTGATATGTGTTCCTTTTCTCTCTCTTTCTATTATGTGTGAAATTATTCTTTTATATATATATATTAATAATAAAATAAAGAATAAAAGGGAATAGAATAAGGTCTAATATATATATACATAAATATAATAATATTTTTTTTATCTTGTGAATCATCATGGCCGACCCTTCTAATCCACCTCGTACATCTCTCACGACATCGACTTATGGAGACCAACGTACCATCAGAGCTAACAAAAGCATCCTTGAACGTAGTCTGAATAAGACTAGAGGTGCAGAGGTAATGTTATATATATATACAGCAATACTAATAATAAAGTAAAAGTAAAAGTCAAGTAGAGTGGTGTAAAATAGATCGACTTTATTTTTATTACATCTAAAAGAAAAATATGGTCAACATTAAGGTCAGTCTGAATGCACAATCGTACATGTTTTCAGAGATGCTCCAATACGCACAAAAGAGAGTAAACGGTATTCAGGATTTAGAAAAAAGGTAAGAGTTATAGCCATACATATACATATACATATACATATATCTACAATGTATAGGAATAATATTAATAATAATATTCTATTGTGCTGTATTGTATCATATTAACAAACAAACATATAAAACTCATATACACATATCATATATTACACTGCAGAATGAATGAATTTGGTTACCGTGTTGGTACAAGACTCTTGGAGCTACTATCTTGGAGAGAAAAGGTTCCAAAGCGTGAGACACGGGTATTGGGTGTCCTGTACTTTATTCACAGTGTGGTTTGGAAGGCGTTATTCAACAAACAGGCCGATTCGCTCGAGAAGAGTACAGAGAACGATGATGAGTGTAATTATCTTGTGGCTAAAACAAATCCCTCTTCTTCATTTTGCTCCAAAGATTTATTACTACTATTATTGTTTGTCGTTCAAAAGGGACGGAGATTTTTGAAAGACAAAATCAAAAACAATAAATATAAACTGATAAACTTGATAAGCTTATGAAGGATGAGTATTTTTTTTTTAAAAAAAAGGCATTGTTTATTTATTTATTTGTTCTTTTGTTTGTAGACATGATATCCGATAATGAGCCTCTTTTGACTCGTTACATTTCTGTTCCAAAGGAATTGTCCCAGCTTAACTGTAATGCCTATGTCGCTGGTATTGTAGAGGCTGTTCTGGATGGCTGTCAATTTGTAAGTTAAAATAAGATACTTAGCTTTCCGCCCTTTTCATTTATTTATTTATTTATGTGCATATATATATATATATCTGTTTAGCCTGCTCGAGTTACTGCTCATACTGTTCCTATCGATGGGTTCCCTCAAAGAACAACAATTTTGATTAAATTGGAGAAAGAAGTTTTACAACGAGAAGAGCTTCTCAAATAAAAAACCAATACAAAAAGAAGGATAAGAAGAGATAGTCAAAAGAGAGGAAAAGTAGCCTTTGTTTCTTTCATATATATATATATATATATATGTATATTCATTTTAAAGAAGAATCAAATGTTTAATTAATATTACGGTTTTTATTGTGGTTGTGGTTTTGGTTGTAAATTATTATTATTATTATTTCTTCCCTTTTCCCTTGGCGGTCTTATCATTCACACAAACAAATCGCTTGGGTACGCCCTTGTCCATAACCAATTGAGATACATTTTTGATTTGAGGTCCTTGAACCATAATCTCATGCATTGGATTTTTTGGACTTGTTCCATGAATTGGATTATCTGTAATACCAAAGATAAACAACAGTAACAATACCAGTAGCAACAGTAGCAAATAGTAGCAGCAACAATAAGAAATCAGTCAATTAATATATATATATATATATAATATAGATATAGGCAATAGAAAAATAAAATAAAAATAAAGCAAAATGATACTTACGTGTTACACTACTTGCACACAACTTGGTCAATTCTTTGCATAATTCATCCATGTCCAAACCAAAGCCTTCAAAACCAGCTAGTTTTGTCACAGTTTTACGACCCTGACGGATTTCCTGAGTGATCTCGATTGGTTTTGGGTTTCCTTTGTGCACAGTAGGATTCTTTCCTGGAAATGCAATGGAATGAAATGGTGCCATCTTGTCCAACAATCTATTAACTTATTCCTTTAACAATAATGATCATGATAATGATAATAAAAAGAAAAAAAAAGAAAGCAAGCAAGGCACTTGAAGAAGCATAAAAGCAGAGCATTTTTTTGAAAAAAAGACAGATATGATTCACTTGTTTACCTTGAGACAATCTGGTCTCTTGTCAAAGCATCGATAGTATTGTATTCAGATGGGGTTAGAATACAATCACACAAGATAGCGTCAATGGTAACCATTCTGCAGAATTCCGAAACATATAATAATAATACACAAATACACACATAGACACACACAGACACACACATATATATATAACGCCAATACAATACAATACATGACATGAAATGACAGCGAAACCAATCAGAATCCGAGTTTGAGAGAGAGAGAGAGAGTTGGTTGGTTAGTTAGCCAATTAGTTAGTTGGTATTATTCAAAGTTTTCTTTCTTTCTTTCTTTCTCTTGGTTATTTTAGGTCCATTCCTTACTTTTGGTTACGCTGGTTTACAAGGTTGTTTTGCTTGATGTAGTCCAAAGTCAGTTGTCTTACTTGAGCTGGACTGTACATTGCATCCTTCGGTTGCTTGGCGGCATCAAAAAAGGCAACGACAGAGTTACCCAGAGGCTTATAGAAGTCTTGAATCTCTATTGGACCCAAGGCTTGCGGCGTGGCTGCTGGACAAGTGCCTGAAGCGGGCCTAGAACCCAAACTATCAGAATTTGTCTGTGTTGCTTGAGAAGAGCTTTCAAGAGTCTTGTATGACCTTAAGCCTTGGAAGCTACATGTAATTGCATGTATTTGTGTGTATAGTATATGTGCATATATGTTAGCGTTAGTATTAGTGTCAGTGTTAGTGTATATATATAAAAAATAAGGGTATGCATTAATAGTGAGTCAAGTTTAGCACAAACACAAATACACACAAAAATAAATAAATAAATAAAAAAATGTAGGCTTAGTAAAAAAAAATTAAAACAAAAAATTCTAAGCCCAAAGCCCAACGAGACACCATACATCTTTTTTTTTATATAAAATATATAAGGGAAAAAGAGAAAAGAAGAGATATAAAGATAGACAGATAGATAGACAGATAGACCTTACCATGGATGAGACCAATTGACAGAAGCAAGCATTGTTTCTCCTCTTTGTTCCTTAAGTTTCAAGACACCTTCCTTTTCGATTGTCTTGAGGAACTTCTGTACCTTTTTCCAGCTCGATTTCTTTATGTCCACCTCACCAGAGTCCCGCGGTCGACTTGGCAAGACATAGGACGCATAGAGCATTGAAGCTGCCATGGGTAAGAGATCAGCCGCACGTTCTGGTGTGATCTTGAATTGAAGTGCCTGAAAAAGAGACTTTCTCAAAAGAGCATCAATCTCTACAATATAAAAAAAAATAAAGAGCGCGATTTAATGTATGAGGCTGGTGTTATGTTATGTTGTATTGTATTGTATGTCGCTTCGTCCTTAATCCATTGCAACTGAGCCCATACAGACAAACACAGACAGGCATACAGACAGGCAGACAGAGAGATAGATAAAGTTACAGTATCATTTCTTACTTTATTATTACTATTATTATTACTACTACTACTATTACTATTCCTATTATGACCATTATAAACTGGAATCGTACCGCTTGTGCTTAACGTCTGAGCGGGTTCTTCTGTCTTTGTCGCCGTTGGTTCAACTGGTTCAACTGGTTTAACTGGTTTTGTTGGTTTTGTCGATTCGGTTGGTTCTCTTTTAGCGTCTTCCGTTTCACTTTCGTACTCATCGTCTGATATCGATCGCATATCTGGAGGGTCTGATTTGTCACCCATGGTCCACAGATAGTCTTGATAAACATGGATAATATGTACAGCCTTTCCTTTCATCCCCGATCTTGGTTTGATCTCACTGGTTGGTAATGCCATTGTACCCACTGCCAAAGGATATCTTTATAAAAAAATAAAGATATATCATTTGTACAACAGAATTAATTTTATTATTATTATAAATAAAATAAAATAAAAAAAAGGTTAATATTATTGCTATTATTAATAATAATGTAATGACTTTTTCTTACTGATATCCTTTGATTGTAATTGCTACCAAATCACCTTTGGCCAGCACTGGTAATGTACCATCGGGCCCAGCAACTAGTCCAGGGATCATTAAATCTATTGTTGTTGTTTTATTTTTAATGATTCATAATTTATGATTCTTATTTTCAATTTAACAGTTGTCTTTCACCTGTCAATTTCTAAACCGATTCAATTGATTGATTGATTAATATATATATATATATATAACTTTACCTGCGCCTTTTGTCAGTTTGTTAACCACGGGGCCCCAGGTGTACAATATGGGAAGCATATCAGGATGTTGCCACATTGTGTAAACTACAAACAATATATATATATATCACGTTTAGCGATTTAATTTTATCTCATTTTTTTTTAAAATATACACATTTACACAGTATATAGAATAAATAGCTAAATATCTATACACATAAGACATATTCCTTTTTTGCTTTTGGTTACCGGTTGGAATAGGTACAGACTGATCAAGCTTGATCCACCAAGGAATTTTGTCTGCTACATATACTATTCCAGGTGTTTCGATATGTGTAGAAAACTTTGCTGACTGAAGCGGGTCTGGCATCAACTGAGATGCGCCTTCCTGAGAAGATTGTTCTTTGAGTTTTGGATATGTATCATATGCCTCATTCTGGAATCGTCTTCTATCTGATGATCGCAATGGACTGAACGACTTTAGATTCGATAGTGGTTTTTTGAACATGTCTCAATCGTGTATTATACTGTATTGTAATGTTGAATAATGTGTAAATGTGCTGTGGTGTCGTGCTGTTAATTATGCTGTGCTGTGTTGTACTTGTGGTTTTTATATTGCAATCAAAATAAATAAATAAATAAATGAAAATATATCTACAAATATATATATATATTCCCAGGCATAAAAGACTTTTGTACCAGATTTTTCCAAATTGGTTTCTTTCTTACTTTTACAATGTGTGCTTAAAAAAAATTTTTTTTTGCTCAAAAAGCTTTAATTGACCCATTTTTTTTGGGTCATTTTTTTAATAGATAGTTTTATTAAGGATTACGATCAATAATAATTGCTTTTTAAATTTCCTATCACTTCCAAGAAGTCCAGAAAGTTTTTATAACCTAATAAATGAATATATTGAGTAAATAATATATATAATTTTAAATAAAAAACATAATGAGACTTAGAAATATCTTGTGCTGTGAACTTTATAAAACTTATTACAACCTTGAGACGCATTCTGAACAATTTTTTTCCCAAAAATTGTATGGACAGATACAAGCTGCTTTGATTGGCCAGATTTATTCTGAACCCTTTTTCTTTATTTCTTTTCTAACTTTTCATACCTATCATTTTATTCCCAATATTGCAGTATTCGATATTTTATACTGGATATTTTATATGCAAGAGAATAAGAAGATAAATGCATAATTATATCTATATTTGAATAATTGATCAATTTTCTGGCTAACTAACTAGTGATTTTACTTGAAGGCTATTGAATATTAACCGAATACTTATTCATATATATATATATACAATCACACGTATTTACTCATTGTATAGAATATACAAACCCAGTTGGATTTTAGTGCAATAAATGCTTTTTTAGACACAAAAATTCACATTAAAAAAAAAGTTTTTTTTCTTATTAATATAATAATAATAGAAAAATATATACATATCTATTGAGAATATGTAAGAAAAAAAAAGTACTCAGGATAATACTAATGATAATAATAATAATAGTGCTACTACAACTACAACTACAACTACAACTACAATTAATATTCGACCTATTTTATTAATTTAACTTCTTTCTCTTTCTCTTTTTATTTATTATTCTTTAACCAGCTTGAATTATTATTCTATATTTTATTTAATAATTTAATAATTACTTAAAGAAGTCTATATTTTTTCCTGTCAAACCCAAATAATAATAATAACAATATGTCTATCAAACAAACAAGCAACAGTAGTAAGTCAAGAATAAAACGCTCAAGCAATAATAAGAATAAGCAGTCCCTTCCTCCCTTCATTCCTTTCTTTTCACTCTATTTTATTTTCACTCTTCTCTTCGAATAACAATCAATGCAAAACTCACTGACAGATCCCAATGCAGCATCTCTTGACTTTGAGGAATGGCCAGTAGAAACGCGTAGTTTGTTAAACTTGGATCCCAAGGAATGGAAGGTATATATATATATATTGTTTTTTTTATATATGTCAGTATTAAGGTTTATTATGTTTGTTTGTTAATTTACTGTGTAGAAACACGACCTGTATGCTATTCTTGGTTTGGGAAAATTAAGGATCAAGGCTACACCCGAGCAAATTAAGCTTGCCTGTGAGTTTTATTAAACAATAATACATTTATATATATATATATATATATATTAGTAAATATCTAACAAAATCATGTATATATTTGTGTGTGTGTATGTATGTATGTGTATTTATTTATTTTTCTTTAAAACATATATATCAAACGTTAGATGAGAGAAAGGCCGAAAAGCATCATCCTGACAACAAGACAACCGCAAAGTCTAACACCAACGATACCTTTTACCAATGCGTCAACAAAGGTAATACATACATATGGGATAGTAATAGTAAATGACCGGTCATTACAGATATTTACTTTGCCTTTATTTATACATATGTTTAATTAGCTTACGAGATCTTGTCTGATCCTGTTCAGAGACGTCTCTATGATTCTATTGACTATGGAATGACTGACTCACAGATCCCAAAGATCGGAAAGGATGATGACTTCTTTGCTACCTATGGAGCCATCTTTGAACATGAAGCACGGTGAGTAAACACTAAGGATAAGTCTGTGCTATATGCATTGTGAGTGAATGCGTTCTGTGGATGGGCCAATTATGTGAAAATATTGCATTTATATTAATAATATGTCTGCATTATCTTTTTTTTTAAAAAAAAACCAGCTTCTCGAACAAGGATGATATTCCAGATATTGGAAACATGGACTCTACCCAAGAAGAGGCAACAAAATTCTATGACTTTTGGTAAGACAAAATATTAATAATCTTAATATCAATAATCTACGAACAACATAACCATCATAAACCAGATCAACTAATGTCATCTTTACAATTATTATATAAAACCATAAAGGTACAACTTTGACTCATGGAGATCTTATGATTATCTGGACAGAGACGAGGCAGAAGGTGAAACGTAAGTAAAGATATCCAGAAGTATTTTTGTGTCCAATAGAGTTTGTTGTTCTTGCTGTTTTTTTTGGAAGGCTGAGACTTTGGTAGAAGTATTTTAAATTCATATTTCGTCATTTTTTTTTCGAATCTTCCTGGTTTTGTAGTCGTGATGAGCAGATCTTGATTGAGAAAAAGAACCGCCTTGAGCGCGCTCAGAAAAAGAAGGAAGATACTATGCGTGTCCAAAGCATTATTGGTAAGAACAATCGAAAGGAAAAGAGAAAGAGAGAAACGGAGAAGCAGAGACTAGAATGATGGAACTAATATATATATATATATATATATTGTGGGCTGCGATCATTAGAGCGTATGCAAGCCACTGATCCTCGCACCAAACGATTCAAGGAAGAAAAGAAGCGCGAGAAGGAAGATAAGAAGCGCGCAAGAGAAGAGGCTCAGCGTATTGCAGAGGAGCAGAGAAAAAAGGTAAGAAAAACAGTAATGAAATTTGGTATCTTTGGTAACTTTGGTTCGATATAATTCATGTATATATATATATATTTGAAAAAGAAATTAAACTAATATTTTTTTTTATGTAGGAAGAAGAAGAAGAAAGAATTCGTAAGGAAGAGGAAGAAGAGGCCAAGCGTAAGCAGGCTGTTGAAGATAAGAAGCTGAAGGATAGACAAAAGAAGGTCCTTAAGAAGGAAAGAAAAGCAATCAAGGCACTCATTGATGTAAGTTGAAGGGATACGAACCATTTTAGAAATGATAAGGGTATTAATCCACGCACACACATATACTATCTCTCTCTCGTGTATATATGAATTTGCAATATATCTTATTTATAATTTAGGAGCGTCTTCCTACCACAACTGATATCGCCGAAGAAATCCAAAACACTGAATTAAATGCTATATTTGAACCTATGGATCTCGAGGAAACTGTTGCGTGGAAAAAGGAACTCGAGGCTGTTTCAAAGGAGCAGACTCTTGCCAAAATCCTAGAAAAGGTCTTGGCTCTTGTTGTAGCAGGAAAACTCAAGGCAAGTGCCTTTTCTCAGTTCAAGGTTGAAGGTAAGAATAATATAATGGTATATTAGCTATCAAATAACTACAATAAGAATAAGTAAACAAACAGAGTCACATATGTTAATATTATGGTATACTTTTTCATTTCTGCTTCATAGAACCAAAGCCTGAACCTGTTAAAGAAGAAGCAAATGCTCAAGACAAATCATCCTCAAACGATTGGGATACTTCAGAATTGTCGTTCCTTATAAAGGCCATGAAGAAGTACCCAGTTGGTACTGTCAACCGCTGGCAAACTGTTGCAGACTATGTTGTTATGCACAGTGGTATGAAGCCTCGATCTGAAGAAGAGATTATCGCAAAGGTAGCTGAATTGAAAAAAGGTAATGTATATACATATACACACATAAATAGATAGATAGGTAGATAAGTAATACAAAAAAAGAGAATGCTCAACAAAAAATGATCTGGTAGGTGCTTCTTTGGATGAGGATGAGAAGTCTCGTTTACAATACAACAAAAAACACAACGACGACCAATACATCAACGATGTCCCTACCTTAAAGTACGAAGCCACCAGCGAAGCCAAGCCAGCAGCACCAAAGGTCGCCAAACCTGTTGCAGCCAAACCTGCTGGTCCCAAGATGGTGCCCATGGTTGTTAAGGTGGGAGGCAAACCAGTAGCTGCAAAGACTGTTCCTATGGTAGTAAAGATGGCCACTAAACCAGCAGCTGCTGCCAAACCGGCTCCTGCCAAGCCTGTCGCCGCTCCTGTCAAGCCTGCCGCCGCTCCTGTCAAACCTGTTGCCGCTCCTGTCAAGCCTGCCGGTGCTCCTGCTCCTGCTGCCGCTGTCAAGCCTCAGACTACTCCCGCACCTACTGCTGTTAAACCCGCTGTTGTACTTACCCCAGTTGCTGCTGAAAAGCCTGTCGAGGATGCTGTCAAGCCAGGGGCAAAGGTAAACGAGTCCCCCAAACCATGGACCAGCGATGAGCAGACAATGCTTGAAAGTGCTATGAAGACCTACCCTCCCAGCTGGTCCGGCGAGGGTGAAAGATGGGATAACATTGCTTCCATGGTCGAAGGACGCACAAAGAAGGAGTGCAAGCAGCGTGTCAAGGTAAGATCGCATTACAGACTTATATTGCACATGTGTAATTAGTTGCTTTTGTTTAAATTATTACTATTAACTAACTCGATATATTATTCTGTAGGCATTGATTGAACTTATTAGAGCCAAGAGAAATGGTAGCCCAGAATAGAAGGCTAAACATCTCTTTTCTATTTTGTTTCTTACTTGCAATTGAATTATTTTATTTATTGATTATTAAAAGCATAAATAATAATAATGATAATAATGATAATAAAAAAAGACTTGTTGAATGTAAACCTTTTAAAAGGTTTTCATCCTTCTTAGCGTTGTACAAATAAAACCAAAAACCAAAAACCAAATAAGACACTAGTTGTAGACTTAAAGTCTAGGTCTGTGGTCTGTACAGGCGTTCTATATTCCAAGATCAGTGGTCTCTTTTTCTCTCTTTAAAATAAATAAATAAATAAAATGAAGCAAACTATATAAACATCTAACTAAAAGCTTTATCTGTACTAAACACCTTTTGATTATTCTTATTCTTCTCTTTTTATTTTATTTTACCATAACTTCCATCCCAAGATACCCCAGCCCAAAGCTCAAGTAGCAGAAAGAAGACCAGAAGAAGAATGAACAAAAACAATTCAATTCAATTCAATTGACTTTACATAAGAGAATTATCGACCTGACTATAAAAAAAGGGGGTTTATGCAAATCTCAAAAGCTGCATCCATGTTTGGTCTTCCTAGATCTACCGTGGATAACATAAAGGACAATTTCAGGGATACTGAAAAAGTCATAGTTAAACAAAAAAAGGTCGCAGAAAAAAAGGAATGTACAAAGACCATGAAAGCGTTTAATATCAGATTTTTGTTGAAAATATCCAATAATAATATAGAGACTATTTCTGCCAAGCTTGTCCCAAAAGGCACAAATGCCGAAATATTCACCGATTTTCTGAAACTACTGATAAAGTAACCGGATGATACTCATTTTGTTCCCCATTGGTTTGTCCTGGATAATGAGCCTATCCATAGATCAAAGTTGCAGAGATTTTATGGCAACAACAAAGCACCATATCAAGTTCTTGCCCCCCTTTACTCTTCACTCTTAAATTCAGTAGAAGAGAGTTTTTCTAAGCTGAAGGGTTTGACCAAAAGAGAGACTGGACTAGATACTGACAACATCCTGGAATACTTATCAGAGTGCAGCGTGAAAATCACAAAAGAGAACTGTAAAGACTAGGTCCAACACAATATTAGTTTCTTCAAAGACTGCCAATATTGTAGAGAAGTTTTTTAAAAATAAAAACAATAGTCATCGATATTACTTTTTTTTATTCTTTATAATCTACATTGATATTACAAGTAGCATTCAAAAAAATCAACTTGGGAGTTTGCTTAAATTAATTTGTGAATGTCACTACATTAAAAGGAAAAGTCATTAATTTGCACTTGAAATCCTGTACCATGTATTGTTCGTGAAAGACACAAGATTATGAGAAGGAACTACTTGCTCCTATTTTAAAATTCGACGTTATTATTGCTGGAAGTGATGTCGGAGGGGGGGTAGTCCAAACACTACGTGCTTTTGATTAAATAGAAACACTTTTATCTATCTATTTTTCATTTAATTATTTACTTGTACTCACATATACGCATATGTATATATGTATATATGTATATATATCCAATCTGAAATCAGACATATGTGCTGCCGAGCTCTCACAGGCTGGGTGGTCTGTTCTTGTGATTGAAAAAGGAAATTACTATCATGAAAGTGAATTGACTTCACACGTACCGACTGAGTACAAGAATATATATTTACAAGGAGGAAGCTTTGCTAATTGTAAAGGAGATATCAATGTCTTTGAGGGAAGCACTTTTGGCAGTGCAACAGTTATAAGCTTTTTAGATAGCTTAAAAGTAAATAATAGTAAAGTTAGCTGAGGCTATGTGTAATATCAATTGATCATCTTTCAATGTTCTAGCATCAGCACTTTGTACGAAAAGAGTGGGCAAATATGGGCTTAACCCATTTTACTTCATCAAAGGTTGGGTTGTTGCGCTCAATTTTTTTTATTTATCTATTAAAAGAGACAAAAAACTAAAGGTAAGAGGAACTCATAATATTCAGTCTATTTATTCTATTTATTCTATACACAAATAGTTCTCTGATAACCTAGACAAAGTTTACAAGCGAATTGGTGCTACCACAGAGGGAATCAAGCATATTATACCAAATCGAATTCTTATTGATGGATGCAAGTAAGTCTAATTATGATCTATGTGTTATAATCTCTTGGTTACAGGAAATTCGGCTGTCCCATTACAAATATTCCTTAGAATACAAGCAGAAAATCGCACGAGTATGACTGGTGCCTTACTGGTTGCAAAGACGGTATAAAAAATGGCACTTCAACTTCGTGGCTTCGTACTGCTGCTCAAAATGGCGCACATCTTGTTGGCCAAGCCAAATTCAACCGAGCTATTATCGTTGATGGAAATGCTACAGGAGTAGAGTTCCGAATCAATAATTCAGATCAGATTATTCGTCTCAATTCATTTCGGACTGTCATCTCTGCTGGATCCTTGAGAACCCAAGAAGTTCTTTTCAAGAGTGGATTAAAAGACAAGAGCATTGGACAAAATCTCCGTTTTCACCCATTGATGGTAGCTTATGGCTTTTTCGATAACAGTCAGACCAACCCTTTTGAAGGATCCATAATGATTGCTGTCAGTTTCATACAAAATATTTAAGTTTTTTTTTTTAAAAAAAAAGATGAGTGTTAAACTAACTTTTATCTTTTTCACAAATACAAATACAAATACAAATACAAAAAATTGATATATATTCTTTGAATTTACTTAATAGATAAGCGGCAGTATTGAGAATTTATATGGCGAGTACTATAGATCAAAGCTCGTCGTTCTTCATCACACTACAGATATTTTTATATTTGGTACGTCATGGCAAGGACAGAAGGAACACAAGGAAGCAATACTGAAATTCAGACAGTCCTCATCAGTCCCAGCCCTTGTTCGGGACAAAGATTCAAAAGAAAATGTTGGGTACAAAAAAGATGACAAGATTTCGATTTCCTACGAAATCTCTAAGATAGGTAAGCTGTCTATCGTAAAAAGAAACATCCGGACGGCTATGATACTTTGCACCGCAGGAGCTACATAAATTCACACAGGATCCTTTGGTATGAAGCCATTTGTCTTTTCTCTAGATGAGTCTATTGAGGCCAGCAACCCCCGATTTGTCAAGTAGCTTGTTGAAATAGAAAACACGGAATACCCGAAAATGGCATGAATTGTTTCTCTGCATATCAACTGGGATCTTGGGAAGAGAAAACATAAACTAGAAGTAACAATACAAGATAGTCAGTGGATATAGAACACATTTGCTTTACTTTATTTTTTTCTCTTATATCAAGAGTATTAAGAAATAATTCATATTGTCGAATGGGTGTTTCTCCAGATACTTCAGCTACTAAGCCAACTGGTGACACATGGGAGACCAGAAATTTATATGTGTGCAATGCCTCACTTTTCGCGACTACAAGTGGTGTCAACCCTATAGTTACGACAGAGCCCATTGCTCTTCATGTTGCAGACTCGATTATTCAAACAGCAAATTTAAATTAAATCATGTTTAACAGTATATCCGTCTATATCATTTTATATAAAAACCTCTCATTCTCAAGTTTTTCAATAAACAGTAAAAAGTATATATATATATATATGAGCTCATGCCAGAATAGTCATCCTAAAGTCTTCTTCATTTTTCAAAAAAGCAAGAGCATAGTCTCTTTAATCTTACTATATTTTATTTAATTTTTACTTAAAATTCTATGCATGAAAACATATAAATACAAAGATATCGCTTTTAAAAACAAGATCAAATAAATATTATAATAAGAACAATAGTGTGTTAATCTTTCCATGTGTATTCTCTTCATCTCATATATGTAACTATATATTCTTATACAACGAATTTTGTAAAAACCTCAATCAGAATATTTATTCTATTCTACATGAACAGCAGTGTCTAGCTCCCCAAAAGTTTAAGATCTAGGGATATTTATGTTAATGTCTTTAGAAATAGTATAACATAGATGTACATTAATTGGTAATATTACAATATATCTCTCTCTAAAACATTGTTACAAAAAAGTATCCGATTTTATCTGTTGGTAATAAGTGGATCGTATACTACATATTAAAACCAAATACAACTCTGCCACTTGTAAGTTCTCGAGTTTTTTTTATGATGATAGTAAGATTAGTTGTTTAAATTTACTAAGAGAAAGAACGAGAGTTTGCTATGTTTTTGGATTTTTCAAGCTGCATCGTATTTATCCAAGCAGAAATAGCAGCACTATAAATGATCATCATTGACAATCTTCTTCATGTTACTAATACTAATTTCCTTTATTTTTTTTTCTAATAGTCTTGCTGTCATATAGTAGAGGAGATAGCCTATTTTTTTTTGGGCAGCAAAGAAATGAAAAAAATATTTAGCCAAAATTGTAATAAACGACTCCAGATAAGATAATGGTATCTTTGAAGACTTCAAACAATTTTATTTAACTATTGCTTTGTTTTTTCTTCATCCTATCTAGCAGAAAAAATATAACGACTAGCATAACTTTTCGTATGTAGAGCTTCTTACAATCGTCTTGATCTTACAGCTTTTTCTGAAGCTGACTGTTCTCACCTTAAAATCGTAAGCAACTTGCGAAGACCGTATACAAATAGCGTAATTAACCCCCCCGTATAATACTTTTCTTTTTCCTATATTATTTCTTACTGGGAGTTGAAAGAGCTTTATTTTGTAAATAAGCTGAAGTAAAGTAGATTGGAAGAAAGCTTCTTTTACTTTTACCAAATTTACGGATAAATATTTTATAATATATATATAAATGCTGCTAACTTTGATAATATAGCGTTTACTTGAAATACATATACATATATATTATCCTATTCACTGGAATACGTTCCTGTGCTAGAACTATTGTGGTTGAAATTGGCATAAATTGCTCTGAAAATATTCTGAAATAAAAGCAAAAATAGCAAGAATTCGGGTAATGTAGACTCAAAAATGTTTTTAGAATTTATGTTTTCAAAGGTGCTTCGTTTGATCCCCCTTTCTGTTATACAATTTACCCATCCCAAAAACTGAGAATTAGAAAAAACCAAGAGGTTCATTTACCATAGGAAACAAACCATATTTATTGAGTGCTTATATAAAATAATAATAAGAGAGAAACTTCCCATTCCTCGCCTTTGTGACTTATAAATATTCCCTCTATTACTTTTATGAGAATCAAATTCAATATAATTGGTTATATTACCTCAACTAGGCCTATTTCTTTACGTAGCTCACAACAAATCATCGAAAAGAAGACTTTCTCTCTTCAGCGTCCATAAGTATTTCAAGAGTTTGCAAGCTCAATCCAAAAATAATCCTTTGATATCACAGCCCTGGTATAGACCGCAAAAACAGTCAAGTAGCTCAAGCTATTACATTCCAATGGAACTGCTTTGGAATACTACTGGGGATATAGAAGATGCCAACTAGACCTTCATGTGACAAAATTAAAGACAATAAACACTTTTCCTGATCCTGCCCGGAAAAAACAGAATATATGATACCAAATAACCATACGATCTCTAGAAGCTCCCGAGGTATTAACATTTTCCAATTTGAAAAAAACCATGCCCACCTCAAAGACTTCGCCCCCTATATCCCAGAACTTATATCTAAATCCTCATAGGGTGTATATTGTGTATAATTTGAAAAGGCCACCTTCGATTTATTTTCAACAATAATCCATTTGTTCCAAATCAATTAGTAGCACTTTCCACATTAAATATTATATGCCTCATAACTAAACATACCTTAGAGACATTGTAATTATAAATAGATTCGTACAATCTCATTGATCCAAATAAACAATGCAAAGGAAATAGATCGTATAAAATACTGTATCTACTATGATTAAAACATAAAAAAAAACAATATATATAATTAGGTTCTGAACAGCTTGCTGGCTATAAACTTATATACGTATATATCCCGCAAATTAATATAGATTATTACATTTATCATCGCTATACACTCAAGCTTAATGTGAATTAGAATTAAATATTACTATGAATATAATAGATATGAAATTTTCTTTACCTGTCTTAAATGGCAGTAAAGGGAAAATAATACTTTGTTTAAAGGTCGGGTTGTGCCTTAGAAAATGCGGGTGGCAAAAAGTAATATTCCAAAAGATGATCACCGTATTTTTTTATATCTACAACTTTATGCCGGATTGAGTTGGAAAGAGCGTTGCTCAAATGTTAATCAAGAGATTGAGTGATGTGCTTGAATAGCAAAGAAGAGGTAGCAAGTTAATATGCACAGCGTATTCTCTTTACTAGTAAGTACATTCAAGAATAATATAATGAGCTTAGTAAGTAAGTAATGAATTATTCGTTAAAAATCATTAATATTAATTTTATGAGCAGAAAATGACAGCATATACCCCTCCCGCTCCCCATCAACCTAACACAGGCCTCAATATTACTCGACATAGCGTATTGACAGGTGTTGCTATCACAGCTACTGAAGTTCAGATCACTGTGAGTCCAATTGAGCACATCCTTACCTTGTTGGCCGCCAATGATGCGAGAGTAGAATCCTTAGATGCCAAACTAAAAACCACGTCAGAGGAAATGACCCATTCGAAGGGTAGTATAGACTTATCCAACAAAACAAATGCTTTCTTGAAGGAGTTGGTTCTTGAGATCAGGGCTGCGATTCCCGAAATAAAAAATGTAATGGTTAGTGAGAAGTCCATAGTATATTCTGCTGCACTGATAGAGTTTTCGCCTTTGATGGATGGTAATTTCACCCCCGGAAAGATATATCCCTTGATCTCCGTATGTAGACTGATTATAGCTATTATATGTCAATGTATTTAATAGCATCTTTTATAGCACCCTGTCAACAGTTACATGAAGAAAAAAAACTTCAAAAGCATAGATCTATTAAAATTTACTGAAAATAATGCCAGATCAGTGTGGTCGATAACTGGTACCTTTGGCGATGACTGCAATAAGTCACTTTTGGTAACTATCATCAAATACTTCAAAATTCACAGATGTTGTGAAAACGTGCCTAATTGTGACATTATTAAGATAGTAAAAAATCACTATCAAAACCAAATTCGAGACTTCCAGACCTCATCAGAGAATATTATGGCTCGAGATACAGCATGAAGAACACACAACTGAAAGAAGGCTGTAAGCTTAAAAAACAAAATTAATTTACTATTTATTTAATGTTTTAATATAGCATTTGTTGGTAGGTCCTTAGCCGTCGTATCACCACGTACAAAATGTACACGGATGCTATCCATGTACATTATGAAACAACCTGAATGCGGAAACATTCTTTCTGTTGATGTGATGTCATGATGAGTCGGACGTAAATAATAAAGTGCGAGCATATCGTCCAAGCTGGAGAACCGATGAGATAAAATTAAACACCGGTCTATTTTTTTTTAAAGAAAATAATAATATATTATTAATACTTCTTATTTTTGAAAATAGCTCTAGAAGTTTACCGATGTTGTTGATGGCTTCCGCATCAAGCATTTACAGAAAAATACAAACAGCTTGTTTTTTTGTTTGTAAGGAGCCGTAGCTCAGATTTATTGTGGTTTCTTGTCAGCGAGAAAAAGATAGGTCACTACATTTTTTTTGGGCAAACAGCTTGTTAACGCACATCCATGATGAAAAGGAAGCGTGCATTCCCAAGAATTTGGCAGTCACTTTGCCGGAATAGTGCTTTTCAAAATAAATATATTTTTTTTTTGGTCATTACTTTACACTTTTTCTACTTCTTTATATTTACAGATGTACGTATGGGATGTTAAGTACAAACGAAATGTTATAAAAATAATATATAATAAATGTGTATTTATATATAAATTAGCCTGTACTAATTAATATATCTTTTTTTTGTATGTATTTTATTTTTGTATTTAAATCTAGATAAATTGTTCGTGACAAAGGAACTACACACATCTGAACTTCGCCTTCTAAGCCAAGGTGCTCACCTACCACAACTGGATAGCAGATTCTAAATGCAGGAAGAATACTGTTCATGATAGCATCTTTGAATCCCACCTCTTTCACCTCAACCCCTTCTCCTGCTCTGGGCTGAAGCATAATCTCCTTGTACCATCGTACGCATGCAAATACATGCTGGCTCAAATAACTGGCAAACAAGTTTACAGCAGTATTGACAAAGAAATATTGAATCTGGTCTACATACGGCTTGGTACTTCTACCATCACTTGTCTCAAACAAGGCTTGCATAAATGACCCCCGCTGATTCCTTGTTTTGCTCCTGTATATTTGGCTGAGAAGATTGATTGATTCAAATTTCTGTATCCGATTGTAAACAAAATTATCGGAGTGACCAGCATGACGACAGTGAACAAGCGTTTGATCATCATATACCTCGTGATAATTGACGACAAATGCTCATACTCGGATTCTTCCATGGAAATCTCTCCCTTTAGAGCTAAAGGAAGTGCGGAAGGCAGCAGAGGCTCGTTTACCTTGACGATAACAAATTTGATCTCATGAGAACCAAGAACAGCATTGATATGGGATAGTATGGCGGCGGCAGTAGATGTAGTGAGCTCAAGGATGATCGCCGAATGCCCAGATTGAATTACAAGCAAAGTTTGTCGAATAAAGTCTTCCTGGTATGTATCCTCAAGACACTTCTTCATATACATTGTTTCGAACCCGTCTCTTCTATTGGTCATATAATCCTTCGAAAAGCCGTTGCATCTTTCGAGACCGAACAGCCAAGAGCGGTAAACCAGGCCAAAGCTAAGGACGCTCTCTCGCAAACGTAAATGCAGATGCATCTTTGGTGAACCAAACGGAGCTTGATATAACACCTCACACTCTCTGCAGAAAACCTCCAATGAGTTATGGACCTTATTAAGATGAGCCATGTATATGCTTGGCATTGAGAGGTACAGGCATGCATTCACGAACGTTGTTCATTTAACAAGATGGACTTCACGCAAGCGGCCACACAGGAGAACATGAGAGTAAACCAAGCACTAATACTTCCACTCATTTGCCTTCATGAATGGGAAACCACGCCCAATCCTTGTACCCAATGATGTGTAGTATTCTGACAGTAAAACATTTTCAGCATCAACCCGTGTTGCAGCCAAGTGTGCATCTGTGATGAGACCAGAAGATCTCCATTTCGCCATTACCCTCTTCGCTGTACCGATATACAGGTTGTGCATCGGATCGATGACAGTGCATTCAACGAGGTGGAAGTAAATCGGGTCAAACAGTTTTTCCAGGCAGCAAGAATAAGAGCACCACAGAAAATAACACAAGATGGAAACTACATAGTAGGAATCACCACACCACTACAAAACTAAACGAGTTCCACGACGAGGAGACAGAGATAGTGATTGATCCCGCTCGCCTTTACTTCCTTGGGTCCTGGAATGAGACCAACGAAGACAGTATTCTCCTTTATTGTACCGTTCTGGTGTGGGCAAGTTGTTGATGCAAAGATATATCGCACTACAGGGACAACTGACACCATCGAAAGGCTGAAACGAATGGATGTTCATGGCAAGCATAATGGAGCACTCGTGATTCACAGATAGTAAAGCATTGCCGTCTTTCGGATTATTCCACTATGCACCATCATGAATCCCAAATGTCATGTCTGGAACGTGTGATCTGTTTCTCCAATAGTTTATGATGTCTTCGAATCTAGGGCGGCAAAAGGTATAGACAATGGTTTGATTGTGGAGCTTTACATGTAGATCCTTGTTGGGATACTCAAGGATCTTGATGTTGCAAAGAAAAAAAGTATTTCTACATTCTCTACCAGAAAGCGTCTCGAAATTACAACACCCTGGAACTATATCGGACTCTCCGTATACTTTTTTTATAATCGCCACATTTTATAAACCACTAGACATTTTGAGTCACGTCGCCAAGACCAGTCATAGACCTTACACCGTTTGTACTGAGGGAAGAAGAAAAGAGTGTCCAAAATGCGCCAATACCTCATTGAAAAACTTCAAAGGGACAGCACCAGTGGAATTGACAGCATATTTGGATATGAATAAGACAGCAAACAAAGCATTGAAAGCATGGATGGGATCGGCTGGCATATCAGATGGAGAAGCGTGTTTTATATATATATGTTGTATTTGTCGATTTCATATACTTTTTATACTAACCCCTAACATCTTCAGATTCACTGTCAGAAATATCCAAAATAACTGCTCCAATGACATCGTCATCTTCGCTTTCAGAACTAAACAAGGAATCAATGGCCAAAAGAGGTAAGTCTTTAGCTGTATTGTCGAGTAAAAAAGAATCAAATTATTAGATATTATAAGCAAGTATACAACTTTAATAAAAATACTATGGATACCTTCAACCTGATATTCAATATCAACATCGTCTCCAAAGCCAATCTTCATGTCATTGTCATTCGACATTACCTCTGTAACTGAAGCTGTATTATATGAAAAGAAACACATTTAATTAAAATTCTCTTGATAATTATTTTCTTAAATTATAACCCACAAGAAGATCCCGACTGATATATTGTCTCACATCATCATCTTCTTCTAAATGTACTCTGAGTGGTTGTTGTTGTTACTGGAAGTGTTGGGTGCGTGTTACTTTTAAAGTCTAGAATCGGTAATAATGGAGAATGGTTCGGAGACACAATTTAAGAGCAACTTTAGTAGTTGTTTTTTTTTGTATTTAATTGGTACTGCCAGAACTAAAAATGCACGGCGTTGGATCTTATGTAGCTTCTATAAAATCATTGCTTTTCTAAAAACAGGGGTTTGAAACTGAAAGTTCAGCCACAATATAAAAAAGAAAATTTAGTAAATGATAAAATCTGTGTGTAGAAACTGATGGACTTGCTCTATTCAAAATGATACACCCATAACCACCCAAAATTATTTATATGTATATCTATCCCACATTTATTACCACATTTCTACTTACATTTATGCTATACCAGTATTTTATATCCTTCCCAGCATAACTATTATAAAAAATCAGACGTTATTCCTTAAAATATTATATTAGATCATTGTACCACAAAACCAAAAACGAATAAATTATAACCGCAGCTTGAATTGACCAAAATTTATATCCTTGTACTTTATATAATTCAATCAAATGTTTGATTAACTTGCGTTCTAGTACTTCGTTTTTGCTGAAAACAAGTGCGTTAAAGAGCTAGAGACGATAAAAAACGAATGGGCTAAGAGACGCGGCGGGCTTTTAATTAAATCGAATGTTCGGAGTGTGAATTAGCTCGAAAATGGAAATCCGCCCATTACTCCTGCAGTGGGAAAGTGATGTTTTCAGTCTCCATTTGAGTGGTATTGAAAGACAGAACATACACCATTTTATAAGGCACGGATTTGATATGAAATGTTAGTTGGGGCAATATGCTCCCTGATCAGGAATAATAAGGATAGACCGAGAACAGAATATATCTTTATTATTACAGCTGTATCTTGTCAGGTTTAATAAAATATATATTTCCTTGATTTATATGAGATTTTGATATAAATTTAACTGAAATATAACAAACAGTAAAAATCTTATCAACTATGAATTTAATATTTTTAGTTGATGTTGGAATATCAAGATTTATTGAAAAACAAAACAATGAAATATTAATATATAAAAAAACACATAACTTATTGAAAACTAGAAAACATTCTATTTAAACTATTATAAATATGTCATATTTTATAAATTATAAAAACATATGCCGATAATAAAGATAGATAAAATAATGAATAATAATAACAAAAATAAAAGCTAAAAGGATGATATAATTTTTATTTTTATTTTATTAAATTCAATCATTTTTATATATTTGTTTTATAAGTACATAGACTTTATTTATTTAATTATCTTTGATATTTGTTTTATTTCCATCAAAATTATAGAAGACATTATTAATGCGATTTAAATAAATTGGTTATTATAATACATGAATGTTGTAAAAGCGAATTGACTACTACTGTAGTCACAATTAAGTTTGAAGGAATAAAACATATATTTTTATTTATTTCAGCCAAAGATGTCTACACGCTACTATATTATCTGACACAGATATTTTTCATGTACATGAGTGATTAAATTTTATATGATGATATCACCGTAATAAGAGATACATTAACAGAATATAAACAGTATAATTATAACTCACAAGCACATTGTTTTTCTATGTTAATACTTCATCGCGAATACACATATTTATATAATTGATCACATATTAATTATTGTTATATATAAGTACCTGTGATATTCTTTAAAAAATAAACAATACTCTTACAAAAACAATTTATTCATTTTATATTATTTATTAATCTCACTTAGCATTTAACTATATTTCAAATAAAATATATTGCTTTTATTGAACTCGATGTAATATATTCTATATTCATAAACACTAAAAAGTCAAAATTAAATACTTAAATGCAAAACACATCAAATTTTATTTTATATTTTATTGTCAAATATTAGAATAAACTCTTTTACTTCAATCACTTATATCTACTTATGTATCAAGTGTAGTAACTATATGTCAAATATTAAAATTAGTATGTAATTCTGATACTTATTCTTTTATTTCAATTATAGTTCTTTCCGAGTAATCAATATATTTAAAAAATGTAAACATTTGCTTCTTAAAAAATATATGTACCATTAAATATTAAAAGAGAATAATTAGAAAATGAATTACATCTAAAAAACTTATATTATAGTAACTTACTTGATTATATTTTGCTTAATTCAAATGTTCATATAAGATGTCAAATGAAAAAAATAAAATTGTGTAGAACATATAAAAGCCAAAGTAAGATATTAATAAGAATAGCTCTGGTTTAAAGTTGGTAACATTTTATAAATATACTTCTTATGTGCTATTATTGTCTCTAAATAACATTGGCTCTTCTGTGTATTTTAACTCTAATTAATAGCCTTCGGAGGCTTTGGGGATACATGCCTACAGCATGTATCAAAGCCTCTATTATATATATAGACTATTATAAATATAAAGTTTGTACTCATAGTATAAAAATTAGCCTATTTATACAAATAAAAAAAAATTAATAATGTATTACATAGTCATACAAATATTAAGCTTTTATATAATACTTTTGTAATATCAAAATAAACACAAATATAAATTGTATGCCAACCCAAATTGAAAATTATAATAGAATATACGATTATACTCAGACCTTGTACTCAGACATGTATCACAAAATATTACTCTTGTGTTATTTAAGATCTTAAAATATGACGATAGATGCCACTTATCTAAAAGAAACGAAAACTATATATATATAAATAAATACACTAAAATAATTAATGTATGTGGGTAGAAAAGAGACCGAGTTTATTTGACTAAAGTGAAAGGCACAAGAATAAGAAGAGTTTGGTGTGATAGTAATTTTATTATAAAAAAGAATAAGAATGTTTTAGTGGTAGAATATTTGTATTATGTTAAAAGTCGGGGGGCAGTGGAGTAGAGGGGGGTGGTGTATGAGAAATAGTTTAATTTTTTTATATTGTATGGTGTGTAACAGATAATTTATATGTATATTGTAGTGCTGAGAATTATGGTGCGTACTGATTAAGAGAGATTGAAACGATGGGACTTTGTGTTAGGTAATGAAACGTTGGTCCAGAACAAGATATTTCAAAATATATAGAAATACGAAGTGTACTTATGAAAATGGTGGTATATGACACTACAAGTATAGTAAAATATAATGTGTGATTTTTGGGTGCTGAATTTTTATTATTTTGATTTCGATTTTACAGAGGTAATAAAATAAAAGAATGCTATTAGTATTTGTGCCGATTTTGAAAGCGTTGTGACGTTGGGTTTGGCACAGGTAAAAAAAAAAAACAATATTGTGGTTGCCACCGCCGATTTTGAAAGCGTTGTGACGTTGGTTTTGGCCCAGGTCAAAAGATAATAGACAACTATGGTTGCCACCGCCAATTTTGAAAGCGTTGTGACGTTGGTTTTGGTCCAGGTCAAAAGATAATAGACAACTATGGTTGCCCCCGCCGATTTCGAAAGCGTTGTGACAATGGTGTTGGTACAGGTTAAAAAAGAAAACAATGCTGTGGTTGCTCCCGTCGATTTCGAAAGCGTTGTGACAATGGTGTTGGCCCAGGTAAAAAAAGAAAACGATAGTGTGGTTGCTCCCGCCGATTTTGAAAGCGTTGTGGCGTTGGTGTTGGTGCAGGTAAAAAGATAATAGACAACTGTGGTTGCTCCCACTGATTTTGAAAGCGTCGTGATATAGGTTTTAGCCCAGGTCAAAAGATAATAGACAACTATGGTTGCCCCCGCCGATTTCGAAATCGTTGTGACAATGGTGTTGGCCCAGGTAAAAAAAGAAAACGATGCTGTGGTTGCTCCCGTCGATTTCGAAAGCGTTGTGACAATGGTGTTGGCTCAGGTTAAAAAAGAAAACAATGCTGTGGTTGCTCCCGTCGATTTCGAAAGCGTTGTGACAATGGTGTTGGCCCAGGTAAAAAAAGAAAACGATGCTGTGGTTGCTCCCGTCGATTTCGAAAGCGTTGTGACAATGGTGTTGGCCCAGGTAAAAAAAGAAAACGATGCTGTGGTTGCTCCCGTCGATTTCGAAAGCGTTGTGGCGTTGATAAGGACACGAAGGTTTGAATGAGGGTTTGTTTTATTTTCAGAGTCGTATATACAGTGAACGCGCGCAGAAAAGAAAAAATAAAGAGTGTTTGGGTGGTGTTTTTTTACAAAATAATATGCTCTTTTTTCGTATTGTTCCGAGTTCGGCCTATTGTGAGTTGCAATATTCTATGAATGCCGATTCGTGAAAAGGATGACGAGATGTATAGAGGAATCGCAATTAGCCAAATGAATGACGGGATGTATAGAGGAATGCCGATCCCCAAACCGAATGAGGGGACGTAACCAGTTTATTCAAGGCGTTGTTGAAAAGATTTTTTTTTTGTTTTGGGCGCGTCACAGTAAAGACTGGTTTTGTATACAGTTCTGCTTGGACACTATTGGGCGCGGACCAGACGGTTTTGAGACTATTGGGTGCGGACCAGACGGTTTTGGAGACTATTGGGTGCGGACCAGACGGTTTTGGAGACTATTGGGTGCGGACCAGACGGTTTTGACACCACTGTATGCTTGACAGTCTCATTTTCAATCGGTCATGCTTAGTTCTATAGTAAGTTTTGATGTGTATGGGTGTATGGGTGTTTGTGTGTATGTTGAATAGGAGTATATATATATATATATGACAGCATGCCTATTATAAATTAACAATAATATATATAAAAACCTATAGTAACTTATAATATGTGGGTGGATCCGTGGGTGTTGAATAAGAGTATATATATAGTAGTGCACCCAAAACACAATGGCAATATATATAGTTCTAGAGCAGCTTTGGGTTTGTGTTCACAGTCTATTTTCAAGTAGCTTGCTATTATTGTTCTATAGGATTCTTAGTTTTTGAGTACAGAGTGTTTGGTATTTTGTAATAAGAAATTGTTATATGCGATTATAGAATAGTGATTATGGATCTAAACAGTTTTATATCTTTTAAAGATCCAAATAAAATAAATCTAGTGATTATTACAATATAGATCCATATATTCATAAACACATATGAAGTTATATATTGTTTGGTAGTCCATAGTTCGGATTTGTGAGATTTTATATATGATACCAATTTGGTTTTATTATTGCACCCAGAATGATTTTATTTTTGATTCTATTTGCTTTTGCTCTTGCGCACGATATGATTTTATATATAATCCCAATTTGGCTTTATTATTGCATCTAGAATGACTGCATTTCTGATTCTATTCAATTTTATTCTTGCATTCGATATGATTTTATATATGATCCCGATTTGGCTTTACTATTGCACTAGAAATAACTTTACATCGTGTGCCAATTGGATTATTTTATTGCCAGAAATATAATTTTATATATAATCCCGATTTGGGGTTTTTTTTATTTTAATCCAGATTTGGTTTTACTTTTACACTTGAAATAACCGCATACCTGATCCTAATTTGATTTTATTCTTGTACTCAATATAATTTTATATATAATCCCAACCAGATTTTAGTTTTGCACCCAAAATATATTTATATCTTGTTTCAGTTGGATTTTATTATTGGCAGTTATATAATTTTATATATGCTACCGACTTGGTTTTACTCTTGAATCGAAATTTACTTTTATTGATTTATCACATCGACTTTTGTCTTCGCACCAATTATTTCTAAATCAAATATATACGGGTTTGTTTCTCAAACATATATGCTAGAGTCTATATATATAGACTATAGATATATTTATATATGTTACGTCTATTTTTTTTGAATAATATTAAAATAAAATAAATTAATAAATAAAATAAATAAAATAAATTCTGAACTATAATGAATGAAAACGTTTTAGAGATAATATCTTGTATGTTATTACTAAGTATATACTATATTACTAAATATAACATTCAGTTTGAGTTGTAGAGTATTTAAATTATTTTTTATAAGTAGAAAGTACGATTTCTACTAATGGTTTATATGTTGCAAAATAAGGTTCTTCAAAATAAAAAAGGAAACTTGTAGTTCTGATAGCTGCTGCACTGTATTAGCCTAAAAAACAGCAGAAAAAAGTATATTTTTCATTTTCA